GTTCAGCAGCTCCGGTGCTGGGCCTGTGTCCCACTGGCCTGCTCCCTCACCAGGTCCAACTGACCAGCACTTGGCATCAGGAAGAATTCAGTTTTAGCCATCCCACGTGGCACACAGGTCTTTTAACGTGCAAATGAATTCTTTCCACTTACAACCTCTGCCATGTGGGCTGTCCTCACGTAATGGTGGCTGTTGCTGCAGAAGGTACTTTCCTGCTCCAGGGGTGGCCTATGATGCACAGGCATCATGGGAACATGCTTTTGAGACCACTCACCTCCAGATCTGTGAAGGCTTCTGGGTCCCTGCTAGTGCCTGGTATTCCTTGAGAGAAGGTGCTGACCACCTCACTTCCGCACTCATATGCTGGTGAGGCTTCAAGCTGAAGCCTTTACTGCAGGCACCCAGAGGGCCAGGACGGGCAGAAGCATTGCTCCATGACCCAAGCAGCTCAATCTTGATGACTTGGCAAGGCCAAGACCAGCAAGCCCAAAGGATCTTTTGGCTCCGCAAGCCTTCCATACCAATTCCAGCAAGAGTCATACTTGACCTCTCACAGTGCCAGTTCCTCTAGCAGAAGCATGAAGGACAGCAAAGTCTGAGCCACTCTTAGCTACCTTCCACACATCTCCAAGAACATCCTTCCTTCTTTGCCCGTCTTGACGAGGGGGACGGCAGAGTCTCTTCCTAGCGAGGGAGCCTTTGGGTTTGGCCCTTCATACCTTCTGCAGGCACCACCAGAAACCCTTTCATTTTGAGGCCAGGCAGGGAAAGCTCTGCTCAGCAACTCCTCAGATCAGCCAAGGAGGAAGACTCATTTCTGAAGGTGAGTCTTGTTTATTAGGCCAGCTACAGAGTCAGGTAGCAGGAGGAAGAACAGGTACCCCATAATGGAGACAAGGTGGGATACTGATGCTCAAAGCAACTTAGATTCACATCTAAGAAACTCGGATTTGAAAGATTAGGAAAAGAGAAGGAAGCTCCTTTACAGGGTATTTACAGTCACCAGGACACGAGGAGATAAATGGGGAGATTCCAACATCCCTCCCCCAGTAAGAGCAACGCATTGATAGACCAAGAGGAGGTCTGGGAACACAGCAGTTCCCAGAACCTCTGCGTACATGGTGACTTCAGGGTTTTCGCTCAGCCAACAATCTGTCACTAACAGAAAGCTGCATCTAACATTGAGGGGACTTTCACGATGCACGAAAACAGCTCCGAAGCTCCATCCTGGTTCAGCCAAGACAATTTGCAAGTGGTGACCATAACTACTACACCCTCAAGTTCTTTGCAGCAAAGAGCAGCACCAGAGTCATTTGACTTCAGAAATTATATTAACCTTATTTGTTTCAAGTCAGAGAGCTAGAATCCATGCATGCAAGAGGTATCTAGGTCCACTCAAGCAGAGATTACAGAAATCAAGAGATGCCTGGCACCAGGCCATGAAGTGCTACAGACATCCAGCACGTAACACAGGCTGCTCACCAACGGCATTCCCGGGTGGTTCTGGCAGCCCCAGCGTGCAGCAGCTAAGAAAGGCCAGGGATGAAGCACTCACCACCTGGGAGGCTGTCTGGGAGCCGAGAGCCTTTTGCACCCCCTAACAGGGCACTTTCTAACTCATGGGTAACACCACAGCCTTGCCATGGACCAACAGGGAAGATGATCCTCTCCCAGCACAGCACGGCCAGGTCGCTTATCCTGGTCTGCCCACCCAGCACCACCTCAGGTTTGATGCTTTCCACGTTCAGCAGCTCCCAATGTCCAAGGACAACAGCAGCAGCCACCACCCATGGAGCTACAAGCAGGCCCTTGAGGTCAACCACTCTGTCATTCAGAGGGAAGGTGCCCAAGAAGACACACGGGACAACCACAGACTTCAGCCAACTGCTTTAGGCATCTAGACAGCCACCTCCAGATTCCCCCCACTCCCTGGGCACCTATGACTTCCCAGTGACCTCCTAGGAGAGCAAGGATGAACTTCCAGAGCAGGAACAACACTTCTGCGTCAGCCACCCAAGGCAGTGGGGCAAAGGCACAGCGTCCTTCCTTCAACAGGGCCACAAACGCAACCCACAGCGCCCATGCCAAGCGAATGAAATCCTCTGACCGCCGGGAGGAAAGCTGTGGCCATGCCGGGGGCGCACAGCACCTCGGCAGCCGCATGTCTCGCGCCACCCCCGGGACGGACAGTGTCATGCAGATCAGCAGCTGCCTGGAAAACTAAACAGAAGATAGCAGCAAGTGGGGAGGGATCGAGTTTGGGGAGGTGTCTGGTGAGGAACAGCAGGGACTGACATTAGGCCCTGTTTGTTTAACATTCCCGCTAACGACCTCGAGAGGCCTTCCTGTTCCTCCGGCGTGTC